ATCAAATGAAGAATAATGTTAATTCATTCAGTGAATTCTAGTGCAGGTATTGTCAAACAGAACAGACTGGAACAGGTCGTTTAGGACAGGGCTTTTCAACCAGTGGTATGGGTATCACCTGTGGTACATTGGCACCTGGCAAGTGGTACACGAGCATCCTAGAAAAGTGGTAGCGGGGGAGGGGAATGAGCTGAACTGGTGGCAGCACCGCACAAGCCTGAGCGAGAGATGGCTGGAGCTGCAGGGCTGTCAGGGCTCAGCAGAAGCGTCGATCAGCTGGAATGTTGCAGCATCTCCAGGGTCTTGTGATTTATATTCAGATGCTTGGCAACTGATTCATATTTATGACGGTCACAGTGTCCCAGGGTCATGTGAAGTGATCAAAACCTGCTGCAACCACCCAGCAGACGGGGGGGGGAATAAAAACCAAACACCCCCCACCCCACCCCCGCTGCCAATCCTCAACAGAAATGCTCACAACAATGGAAACCTCGGTCAGAAGGAAGAGCGTCGCCAGGTGGGCAGGCAGGTGTCTTGCTCGGCTGTGGCTTGGGGGGCACTTTTTTCAGTGCCATTGTAACTTCGAACAGTCACTAAGTGAACTGTTGTAAGTCAAGGACTACCTGTACTTTATCACTTTTTCCCTTTTTTTTTTTTTTGGTCATCAAGGTTTTGACACCTTGCTAGGTGACTCGTGGTACTCAGATATTGCCATATCCTAAAAGTGGTACAATGGGTGAAAAGGTTGAAAAGCCCTGGTTTAGGAAACTTCAAACACTTTACAGAAAGTGTATGCAATGATGTAATAATATTTTCCTCTGCTGTTAACCGCAGTGTTTTCCACCATGCCTTCTAAGTTCCCGCCAATTTCCCTGTTCTGTAGAAATTGTAGGATAATATGTAGCATGGTTCAAATATATTCCATGCATAGCCATTTCTCTGTGCTTTTTTTTTGTGATGGTCTCTTTTACTGGAAGAAGGTAGAAGGAAGAAAGTAGAAGGAAGGAGGAAGGAAGAAGAAGGAAGGAAGGGGAAGGAAGGAGGACAGCGAAATTTTGCATCTGATGAAGTAATAGGGGTGGGGAAAAATGAATGTCTACTCTGCTTGCGCCCATCTAGCGTCAGTTCTATTTTCTGGCTTGTTATCGGAAGACCACATTTCCCAGGAGGAAAGGAAAGAAGGGGATACTTCTTTACCTTAAGGTCAGAAATATTTCTTTTTATATGATTTTTATTGAAGATTTTGAAAAGAAGGTAAAATAAAAAGTAATACAAGCGAGTATCAAGTAAGAAAAAGGAAGTGTTCCAAGAGAAAGTGGAGAAAGGGGGAAAAGTACAGAAAAAAATAGAAAAGAAAGGAACACAACACCAAAAAGTTGCTTCTGATCTGCTTTATAGCAGTTATGAGTATAATTATCAGTTTGCCTCTTACTCTATGGTTACAACTTGACTTTCTATAATCTATCCTAAAACATAAGTTTTTTTCCCCCCCTATTTTACGCAAAAAGCTAATAAGGGGTTTTTCAGTCCAGCAAAATGTAGAAATTCTCTTCCCTAATCAAAGAAGTCAATGTAGCTATCTCAGCAAGTTCCATCATTTTCATCATTCCTCCATTATGGGAAGTGCCAAATCTTTCCATCTTTGTACGGACAGTAATCTTGTTGCAGTTACCATGTGCAAGAACAAAATTCCATGACTGAGGTGACAGAATAACAAAATAATAGAGTTGGAATGGATCTTAGAGGTCATCTAATCCAACCCCCTGCTCAGGCAGGAAACCCTATACCATTTCAGACAAATGGCTGTCCAATCTCTTCTTAAAAACTTCCAATGTTGGAGCATTCACCACTTCTGGAGGCAGGTTGTTCCACTGGTTAATTGTTCTAACTGTCAGGAAGTTTCTCCTTAGTTCTAGGTTGCTTCTCTCCTTGATTAGTTTCCATCCCTTGCTTCTTGTCCTGCCTTCAGGTGTTTTGAAAAATAGGTTGACCCCCTCTTCTTTGGGGCAGCCCTTTAAATATTGGGACACTGCTGTCATGTCACCCCTAGTCCTTCTTTCCCCTAGACGAGACATACCCAATTCTGCAAATGTTCTTCATATGTTTTAGCGTCCAGTCCCCTTCTGGGGTGAAGGATAGTTAAACTTTTTCCTTTAAAAATGGGGTCTTAGGAGATAACGGATTGCCATAATACTCGATGAAAAAAGAGAGACCCTCAACTTAAATCACTAAATGCAAATGAATTTCACACAATGCTTCCCGGGAAGATAGAGAAACCACAGCCGAGCTGTACCCTGCTAACAAGAGGAAAATTCTGGACTGTTTGGACACAACTGTGTCAACTGGGCTTCAGTTGTATCCACAGCATGCTCAGGCTATTCTATGCAAGCCGGCATCCTTAATCTAGAAATGCCTTAAAAGCCAACATACTGTTGGTTCCATTCCACGAGATAGGAGATATAGCTAGTGTTTTGACTCAAAGGTGGGTCTAACAGACTATATGGATCCTGGTGCAATGAAGGTTAATTTCCAAGTATGACAAAATTTAGACCCGTGGAGTGAGCAGTGTTGATTTGACTACGCCTGTTCTTTCTCATCCCTTTAATTCCTTTAATTTGATTTGATTTGGGTTTCTTTGGTCTTTCTTGTTCCTTTTTTGTGCTCTGCCTAACTTACGTACCAATACATTTTTTTAAAAATTAAATCTCAGATCTAGCAATAGCACTTAGACTTATATATCGCTCTATAGTGCTTTACAGCACTCTCTGGGTGGTTTACAACATCAGCCTATTGCCCCCAACAATCTGGTCCTCATTTTACCAACCTCGGAAGGCTGAGTCAGCCTTGATATAAGTTCTACAGTGCCAGATAAATTCCAAATCTTTAAGTTCCCTGGACATGTCTTCTTCACCTTCTCCTTTTCCTCTTAAGCAGCTCTTAGAGAAATAAACTTTAGGGAGGAACTTTCCTAATGGGCTAAGCAGTTAAAAGCGACCCCAGGAAATGTGTACATTTGGACTTGCAACATTCTGCTATGTAGCCTTACAATAAAGTAGAATTTGTTAGTATGGCAACTGTTTCTTGTCCATTTTACTTGGATTGCTGATAGGTGATTTCTATATTCAATCAGCCTCAGGCTTTGTGCTTTTTCTTAGCTGTCAGGTTCCAACACACACACACACACACACACACACACACACACACACACACACACACACACACACACACTGTTTTTGTTTGATGCTTTTAAAAGACAAGAGATGTTGCAACAAGATGACCAAGATTTCCTAATTTCTCTTCTGTTCGCTTCTTTCCAGTACTAAAGGAAATAGAGAATACAGTAAACAATTATTTCCTGTCTTGGCTAAGACCCCCAGCCACCCATGTATCCTGCCTTGATGTCATCCTGCATCGTTTTGTTGTGACCTGCCTTACCTTGGCAAGGGTGCCCTGGTTGACTTTGGATGTAAAAAAAAACCAAAAAACCAGACTAAAGAGGATGTTGAGAATGTTGATGTCTTGATGTTGAGAAAAAGTCTTGGGACTAATGGCTGCCATGTTTCCACCAAGCAAGAAACAGGAAGGAAGAAGAAGAGAAGGAGGAGGAGGAGGGGGGGGATTGGACACAAAGACCTTGATCCAGAAGATCAGGTTAGAGGACGAGTTCGTCCTCTGAGACATGGTACATTACATATCTTTACTTGAGACGAACTCGTCTCTAAACCAGATCTTCTGTAGGTTCCAGGGAAGGTTAAGACAATAAGACAACCATCAACGTCCGGTATGGATTATACACCCCGAAACCTTCTAAAATTTTTCTCTAAATCTAAAATTTTTAATTTTTAGGTGGAAAGGGGGTGTTTCTCTCATATACCCAGGGCTTTTTTTGTCATAAAATGCCCAGAACGGAGTTCCAGCACCTATTTTGGATGGAACCTTGTAGGGTAGGCAAGGCGGGTTGTATGACATGTGTGAGTTCCGGCACCTTTTTTTTTAATAACAATAATAGCACTGCATATATGTATGTATATATACACACACACATACATGTATACACACACACACAAATACACACACTCACACACAAACATATTTTAAGGGAAAAAACATAAACAGAAAACCATGTGCTTCAAGTCAACCTACTTCACCCTGGTTTGATAGGTGATGGATTTGTCAACCATTGAGTTTAAATATAGTGGGGATGCTTAGATATTAATATTATTAAGTGGATATTAATTAACGAGTTTAAATATAGTGGGGATGCTTAGATATTAATATTATTAAGTGGATATTAATGAATGAGTTTAAATATAGTGGGGATGCTTAGATATTAATATTATTAAGTGGATATTAATGAGTACAAATATAGGGGGATGCTTAGATATTAATATTATTAAGTGGATATTAATTAATGAGTTTAAATATAGTGGGGATGCTTAAATATTAATATTATTAATTGGATATTAATGAGTTTAAATATAGGGGATGCTTAGATATTAATATTATTAAGTGGATATTAATTAATGAGTTTAAATATAGTGGGGATGCTTAGATATTAATATTATTAAGTGGATATTAATTAACGAGTTTAAATATAGTGGGGATGCTTAGATATTAATATGTAAGCATCCCCACTATATTTAAACTCAATGGTTGACAAATCCATCACCTATCAAACTGGGGTGAAGTAGGTTGACTTGAAGCACATGGTTTTCTGTTTACGTTTTTTCCCTTAAAATATGTTTGTGTGTGTGTGTTTGTGTGTGTATGCATGTATGTGTATATACATACATATATGAGAGAAACACCCCCTTTCCACCTAAAAATTCTTTAAAATCTAAATCTGTTTTTAAAATCTTCCAAAGACTCAAATATTAGCTATGGCCTGCAACTACCCAAAACTGCTTGCTCTTATTTTTCTGCCACACATCAGTTCACACATTCCTGTGTTTTTGCTTTTAGGAAAAGGAGCAACGGTCACCCGTCTTTTATCAGAAGGAATGAGCAACACAACTTTTGACGCCTCAGGCTTGAATAATTCTGTGGAGTATGAATATTACTACGATTATGAGGATCCGACCTATAAATTGGAAAGAGCAATGCACGTTATCTCCATGGTGATCTACAGTCTGGCCTTTGTGCTGGGGGTCCTTGGCAACGGGCTGGTCATCTTCATCACTGGCTTCCGAATGAAGAAGTCCGTCAACACGGTCTGGTTTCTCAACCTGGCCATTGCTGACTTCGCCTTCACCTTCTTCCTTCCCCTGAGCATTGCTTATTTAGCCCTGAGATTCCACTGGCCCTTTGGCTGGTTTTTGTGCAAGTTGAACAGCACCTTGGCCTTCGTCAACCTCTATGCCAGTGTTTATCTCCTCATGATCATCAGCATTGACCGTTGGTAAAGACAGACCAAAGGCCAGACCCGAGTCTTAGTGGCTTGTGGAGCAGACCGAAGAAAACACCGGAAGCCACACACCTAGGACCGGAACCAAAACTCAAAAGGTCACTACATAAAGTCCGTTTGTCGGGGTCAGCTTCTCTTGGTATAATTGACGATATGGTTAATACCACTGTTGGGTGTCGAATTTTTCAAGTTCCATTATGCAACGATCATCCTCCGGTTCATCTGTGCCTTCGTCATTCCCTTCACTGTTATTCTTGTCTGCTACGGAGCGATTGTCTTGAAACTGAGAGGCAGACAGTTGTCTAAGTCTAACAAACCTTTTCAGGTTATCACCGCTGTGATTGTTGCCTTTTTTGTCTGCTGGTTCCCTTATCATGCTTTTTCTTTCATTGAGTTAACAATGCACTCAGGGATGCAAACGACGATGAGGATCGGGATCCCTTTGGTAACAAGTTTGGCTTTCGTCAACAGCTGCCTCAACCCCATTTTGTATGTCTTCATGGGCCAGGATTTCAAAAAGAGACTGAGACTGTCCCTCTTTTCGGTTTTTGAGAATGCCTTTACCGAAGACAACAGCCAGAACTTAACCACCAGCAAGACTAAATCTTCAGCCGAGACCGTGTCTCAGGAGCTCTGAGGTGACTAAATTGACTGTTTTGATTAAAGAAAAGAATAGAAGTGCTTTTGTTTCTACCTGGAGACCGCTTCTGGATTTTGTGCTTGAGGTGGAAAGAAATGAAACTTTGATTTTGGCTTTTACTGATTAGATTGATTAGTTGTTATAGAAATGGCTAGTTTATAATTAAAAAGTTGAGGTTCGATGTTAACGCTTCCTTCTACTCCAGGGGTAGGCAACCTTGGCTCTTTTATGACTGGTGGACTTCAACTCCCAGAATTCCTGAGCCAGTGATGCTGGCTCAGGAATTCTGGGAGTTGAAGTCCACAAGTCATGAGGGGCCCATACTTCCCTCATGCTGGCTCAGGAATTCTGGGAGTTGAAGTCCACCAGTCATAAAAGAGCCAAGGTTGCCTTGCCTAGGCCTGCATTTCTCAACTTTGGCCACTCGGAGATGGGTGGACTTCAACTCCCAGAATTCCTAAGTCAGCATGGCTCAGCTTGGAAACCTCTTCCTTTCCCCTCAGCATGGCTGGCTCAGGAATTCTGGGAGTTGAAGTCCACGAGTCATAAAAGAGCCAAGGTTGCCTACCCCTGTTCTACTGCAACACAGGAAGTCCGAAGTCAACACCTTTTTTCTTTCTTTCTCCCTTCTCCCGCTCATTTTTCTTTCCCATTTCCCTCCCCACTGCGTCCTACTATTTGCTTTTTATTTTGTATTTTACTCTATAATCTAATAAAATGTATAATAATAAGAAGAAAAGGAGCTCTGTGTTCTGCTGATATCGTCAGTTCTCAAAACCCTCCTAATGCCAGGTTATCAAATAAACCCGTTCTGAATCTTTGCTTCGCTCAATTGCCCCATCTGCTAAAGCAGGGCTTTTCAACCAGTGGTACGGGTACCACCTGTGGTACATTGGCACCTGGCAGGTGGTACGCGACCATCCTAGAAAAGTGGTAGCAGGGGAGGGGAATGAGCTGAATCGGTGGCAGCACCGCACAAGCCTGAGCGAGAGATGGCTGGAGCTGCAGGGCTGTCAGGGCTCAGCGGAAGCACCAGGATCAGTGCCGCTTTCCAGCTGATTGGCGCTTCTTCGGGACTGTCAGGGCTCAGTGGAAATACCAGGATCAGCACCAGGCTCCAGCTGGAGCTCGGTGCTGATCCTGGTGCTTCTGCTGAGCCCTGAAGAAGCGCCGATCAGCTGGAATGTTGCAGCATCTCCAGGGTCTTGTGATTTACATTCAGATGCTTGGCAGCTGATTCATATTTATGACGGTCACAGTGTCCCAGGGTCATGTGAAGTGACCAAAACCTGCTGCAACTAACCATCAGACGGGGGGAATAACAACCACACACACCCCACCCCACTCCCGCTGCCAATCCTCAACCGAAATGCTCATAGCAATGAAAACCTCGGACAGGAGGAAGAGCGCCGCCAGGTGGGCAGGCAGGTGTCTTGCTCGGCTGTGGCTTGGGGGGCACTTTTTTCAGTGCCATTGTAACTTCGAATAGTCACTAAGCGAACTGTTGTAAGTCGAGGACTACCTGTACTTCATCACTTTTTTCCTTTTTTTTTTTTTGGTCATCAAGTTTTTGACACCTTGCTAGGCGACTGGTGGTACTCGGATGTTGCTGTATCCTAAAAGTGGTACAAGGGGTGAAAAGGTTGAAAAGCCCTGTGCTAAAGGACGAAGATTCTTTGCTTCTGAAGTTCGGCTGAACTTGTCCTTTTTTATTTTTGGTTCAATATGAGGTTTGTTGCAAATGAAGACGTGTTTTGGGCAGCAAATTGATTTGTTGTTTGGGAGAGTCTGTGCTTGGGGTACCAGGTATCTGAACAGGTAATGTAGGACATGAACACTTCAAAAGGAGGACAAATGGGGGGGGGGAAGAGGACACACTGTTTCATATTCTTGGCATCCATGACAAAAATTACAGCAAAAAATGCCCCCCAACCCTAACAGTGAGAACAATTAACCAGTGGAACAAGAAGGTACGGGTGCTCCAACACTGGAGCTTGTTAAGATAAGATTGGACAATTATTTGATATTGGTTGTTGTATAGGATTTTCTGCTTGAGCAGGGGATTGGACTGGAATGGGGGTCCCTACCCCCCCGGTCCGTGGACCAGCACCGGTCTGCAGCATGCCAGCAACCGGTCCGCACAAACAAGCAAAGCCCCATCTGCGGGATGCAAGCAGCATGCAAAACCACGCCCCCTCTGATCATCTAAAAACCTCTCTCCACGGAACCGGTCCCTGGTGCCCAAAAGGTTGAGGACCTCCAAAGTGCCTTCCAACTCTGTTATTCTGTTATGAAAGCTGGGAACCTACAATTGTATGGATGTGTCATCATGATGATGCTCTGGAATGGGTAGCTGAAGCTCCAGCTGTTTTTCTCGGGATGTAAACGCCATTCCTTTCAGAACTGAATACGATGTCATGACACATGTATCAACAGTGTTGTACTTGGATAGCGATAGAGTAACCAGGAAAATACCACTTTCACACAGTACACTAACAATGACTTAACCTTTTTCATTCAGAGGGTGGAGATAAAAATAAAGCCATGTCATGAGAATATAGGGGGAAAAAGAGAGATTGCCAGGCAGTCTTTGTGCCATAATTGGAGCCGTGGTGGTGCAGTGGTTAGAACTCAATATTGCAGGCTAACTCTGCCCACAGCCAGGAATTCGATCCTGCCTGGCTCAAGATTGACTCAGCCTTCCATCCTTCCGAGGTCGATAAAATGAGGATCCAGATTGTTGGGGGGCAACGTGTTCACTCTGTAAACAGCTTAGAGAGCACCCTGATTCTTGAAAGTCCATGAAACCCACAGCTTCACATAACATAAATTCAGCTAACTGCAGATTACTTTGATTAAAACAAGCAAACACATACAGCAGAATTATGTTACACAAAATTTATCTGGGGAAACACCCCCCCCCCAAACTTTAAATAGTCTTAAACTTCCTAATAGACTGGAAGTCAGACCAGCCCTCAATAACCAGGCAGAAAAGCAATTATAAAAGGTAATAATTACACTATTTTTAAAATTCTTTTTCACAGCTGTTTCCTAAGATTATCAACAGAAATTAGAATACGCATAATACGTATTACAATGCATTTTATAAATATACTAATGCTTTTGAAATTTGCTGGACTATTGTTGGTTTAGGCCAGGGGTAGACAACCTTTGCTTTTTTGATGACTTGTGGACTTCAACTCCCAGAATTCCTGAGACAGCATGGCTCAGCTTGGAAACCTCTCCCTTTCCCCTCAGCATGGCTGGCTCAGGAATTCTGGAGTTGGTCTACGAGTCATAAAAGAGCCAAGGTTGCCTATCCCTGGTTTAGGCTATACCAGTGATGGCGAACCTTTTAGAGACAGAGCGCCGAAAAACCACCCCCCACCCCGTCCCTGCTCCACCCTGCCCACTGGGCCACCCACCACCTCCACGGCCCGCCAAAGATCACTCAGGCAGCCCAGCAGCGCCATGGCAGCCATGCCCTCCACCCATGCCCTGCAGCATCATCTGCGCGCGACGGGGCGCAAGGACAGAGTCTTGTCCCCGCTGCCCGGCTATCATGTCCTTGGCTGTGCTGCTTCGCGTGGGCTGTGCCCAGGGGTGACTTTCCTCCGGGGGGGGCCGATGGTGAGCAGGGGGCTGTGAGAGGAGGTGGGGCTGGGGAGACAGTGCGTGTGCCCACAGAGAGGGCTCCAAGTGCCACCTCTGGCACCTGTGCCATAGGTTCACCACCACTGGGCTATACCCTGGGAATAATAAGCCAATATATCTGGAGACCAAAGGTTGTAGAAGGCTGTAATAAACACTGAAGAATAAACATTAGAAAGTTTGAGAAATGACAAATTTGTTGAAAGTTTGAGAAATGACAAATTTGTTGAAAAGTGTAGAATGCCACCACTGAAAGGGATCTGTTTCAGAAATATCCATTGAGCTGTATAATGTGTTCATTTGCAAAATTTGGGTTTGCTGCTGGTGGCGGGGGGAGGTCACTCAGAGCATATATGGGTCTTCTGCTCTGTACAAGTGTCAAAATGTGCTCACATAATTTGCTTCATCTGGTTCCTGAATTGACCCAGGTTCTGGTAATAACCAAGTGGCTGAGTTCAGTCAGCCCAATGAGCCACCAAAATCCTAACCAAGATTTAATCCTGACCAAGTTTAATGCACTCTGCAACTGTGTCTGCTTGGTCATTACTTGGCTTGGTTCACTGAATTGTTTGAATGAAGCCATAAGAGTCTATGGAGATTCTCAGTCATCCAAGTCATGGTTGTCCCAAAAGTGCTTTTCCAAAAGGCAACTGGACTTTGTTTTTCCTTGAAGATGTTTTACTTCTCACCCAAGAAGCTTCTTCAGTTCTGAAGAAGCTGAAGAAGCTGAAGAACTGAAGAAGCCTCTTGGATGAGAAGCAAAACGTCTTCAAGGAAAAACCAAGTCCAGTTGCCTTTTGAAAAAGCATCTTTGGGAAGCCATAAGAGATGCTAACACTTAACCAAGCTAATACAATCCCAGTGGTTGCAACTAAGACTAAGCTTGATGAGTTTTAACTTTGTGGCTTAGCTCCCTTTGGTTAGCTTACAGTTGCTGTGTTATGTGAATCAAGATGCCACCTTTGATTGGTTTCTCTCTTCGTTGGATCTTGATTCCTCTTTGAAGGACTGTCTTGTTAATTGGTCACCTTGTTGGACGGAGGTCTTCGCCACTTACGCGGTTGTGACCTTCACAGTCCAAGGCTTTCTTTATTGAAAAGTCTCTTGAAAATCCGTATTAATGGAATTTCTTAGGAAATTACTCAATGTATTAGGAGCACGAACGAAGTAAAGCCAAAAACTGAAACACCCCCCCCCATCCTAGCTCTCGCGACAAGCACAACTCCCTCCCTCCTTTCACAGTCATCAATCATATGCTCCAATTAAACAGAGGTGTGAATCTTCTTCTGTTATTCCAAACTGCTACTGCTTTGACCTTGGCTGAGCTATGCTAAGATAATGTAGTTATTCACAGGCATTCCTCCCCCCTCATCTGGCCCGCAATGCCTGCTTTTGCTCTTGAGGCAATATGTAGACTAAATAGATATGTTTGCTTCTTCACTTATGTCAAGCAATAACATCCAATGTTAGCAGACTTGACAGGAAGTTTTTAAGAAGAAACTGGACAGCCATTTGTCCGAAATGGTGTAGGGTTTCCTGCCTGAGCAGGGGATTGGACTAGATGACCTCCAAGGTCCCTTCCAACTTTATCATCATCATTATTATTATTAAGATAACGTGTGACTTCAGGAAGTAAGTTGTGTGATTACAGCTGTAGGCATGTTCGCTGCATAAGAAGAACTCACACCATGCTGAATTCCCCTATTCCTGAAGTAGAACCAGAATTCCTATTACTGGAAAAAGAGGACAGAGTCCAGTTTTCATTAAAAGCACTTCTGAAGGCTGACAGGAAGGAATGCCAGCTAATTTTTCTAAAATCTGGGCCGACGAAAGCATATAGGAATGGATTGAGGCAGCTGTTGAGACACACCAAACCATTAGCCAATGGCAACCCAATCTCAGTGACAACTCTCATTTCAAGGCTCTCATCAATCAGGGTTTCTAAAATGGAGAAGAAGTGGTGAGGGAACCAGCAGCAGAAGAACGCTACTACCACTGCCACGATGATCTTGAAGGATCTACCGAATTGACCAAAGATCTTCCTTCTGAGCTTGAAGACAATGATGCAGTAGCAAGCCAAGATGATGTTGAAAGGGATGAGGAACCCAATTACAAATTCAGTCACCACCATAGAAAGATGGGACTTGTAGTGGCTGGCCTCTTCCAAGCTAAAGCTATAGGAGCACTTTATAGAGTCATCCACATCTTGCTCCATGTCCCGGAAGTAGAAGTAGGGGGTGCTGAGTCCCAAGGCCATCATCCAGATGAGGACAGCTATTAAGGAAGCCAGCCGAAGCGTGCGATGGTTCAAGGACCAAACGGGACACACTACAGAAACACAGCGGTCAACACTGATGGCAGTTAAGAAGAAGACGCTGGCAAACATGTTTAGGAAAGAAACCACAGTGTCAAGTTTGCAAAGTAGCTGCCCAAGAATCCATTCATCGAGGGCAAAATATAGCAACTCTGAGGACAGAGAAAGGTCATATATGAAATCAGCTAGAGCCAAGTTGAGGTACCACACGGTGGTTACAGTCTTTTTCATTTGGAAACCAGTGAGGAAGATGACAAGACCATTGCCAATGGTCCCAAGGAGTAAGGTGATGCTGTAAATCACCATGGAAACCACATGCATTGTGCCTGAAGTTTGAGCATCATCATAGAAAACCCCAGTATCATTCCAGCTGAAATTGTAGATGTCATTCTCAGGAAGAAATTCAATGTCATCATCATATAGAACAGAAGGGAAGGGATCCATCCTTCTGAGGTCCAGCCCCCTTTTCTTTTTTCTGAGCCTAAAAGATAAAAAGATATTTCTTTTGTGTGAGAACAGAGCAGAGAGGAATGAGAAAATGGTGGTGGAACTCTGATTGTAATCTTTTAGATTGGGGGGAATCTATGTATTTATTGAATTTCTACCCCTCTTAATAAGTGACTCATAGGCAGTATTCATCATAAAACGTAAAACAATAAAGCAATTAAAAAAATAAAGAATAAATATATATGGTTGCCAAGTAAGACTATTGCCACAGATATAATATATATATTGCCAAGAAATGGAGCCCTTGACACACTCAGCACACAGAACTGGGCATATTTAATTTCTTGGATATTTCTGACACAATATTTATCCCTGCACAGACTAATATTTAGTGTGGAACTCAGTGACTATGGCTTTAAAGCAGGGGTGTCAAACTCAATTTCATTGAGGGCCGCATCAGCATTGCGGTTGCCCTCAGGGGGCCAGGTGGGTGGGGCCAGGGTGGGTGCAGCCTACTGGGTGGGCGTGGATGGAGTGGGTGTGGCCTACTGTGGTGGGTGTGGCCAGCTCTACATCGTTTGCGTCAAGGGTGCCTGTGGGGGCCTGGGCAAGAATTGGACAGATCTGAGGGTCTCTGGCAGAAGGGGATGGGACCGGGGAAAAAGGCATCTTTTCAGGGCAGCCAGAAAAGTGAAATGAGTATTCTCAAGTTTTTCAAAAGAGCTATCTTGTCAGTCTTTTGCTGCACACATAGAAAGGTCTTGGGACACCTTAAAATGGAACCCGTTTATTATCTCATAAGGTTTTGTGGAACATAACAGTCACTGTGCTCAAAGAAAGTTGCAAACAGAGTTACCCTGGGACCATCCGTTCTATCTGATAAAAGTGATACAGATAAGCTCACAAATTCAATAGCTCTCATTATGACATTGCTTGCATGATTTATTGCTATTAGACAGCACCATCAGTATCCACCCAGGATCTGTAATTCTGCATTTCTTCATGACATGTCCTATTTCTATCACCTCTTAGTACAATCCTTAATTCTAGTTCAAAACGCCTAACTATTCCCTATGCTCTATTTCCAAATACAACTCTTTAATTCCAGGGCAGAATACAATATCTTATACATTCCAATTTGATGCCAACTGGGGAGGGGCAGATGTAGTTGGGGGGGGGGGCTCGGTTCACAGTACGAAGCACAGTCTGAAGTCATGGCTTCATGAACCACAGAATAACAGAGTTGGGAGGGACCTTGGAGATCTTCTAGTCCAACCCCCTATTCAAGCAGGAGACCCTATACCATTCCAGACAAGTGGCTGTCCAGTCTCTTCTTAAAAGCCTCCAGTGATGGAGCACCCACAACTTCTGAAGGCAAACTGTTCCACTGGTTAATTGTCCTTGATTGTTAATTAAGTTTCTCCTTAATTCCAGGTTACTCCTCTCCTTGATTAGTTTCCATCCATTGTTCCTTGCCTTCGGGTGCTTTGGAAAATAGGTTAACCCCCTCTTCTTTGTGGCAGCCCCTCAAATATTGCAACACTGCTATCATGTCACCCCTAGTCTTTCATTTGTCTAGGCTAGCCATATCCAGTTCTTGCGACTGTTCTTCATGTGTTTCAGCCTCCAACCTCCTAATCACTTCTCTGCACTCTTTCCAGCGTCTCAACATCTTTTTTATAACATGATGACCCAAACTGGATGCAGTTTATGAGGTTTTCATCACTTGCTAAGCCATAAACCATGGTTCAGTAACGACATCAATGCGGTTCCCATAAAGCACAAGGTCCCAACCAGCCAAATCACCTTAGGCATGATGCGTGCATCAGAGTTTATGTTTAAAAAAATCATGATTGAGACTACTCACCCACTTTAAGTTTCTGACAAGCTTGGCAACCCCTGTCTTTCCGTGCTTAATTGGAGATTTGTAAAAACTTTCCATCGAGTTTTTGCCAGTCCTGACTATCATTCTTATCTATCTCGTCTGCCACAGACGGTTTTGGCCCTATCAAATAACGGCTCTGAAGAATGCCATCCTTCTCTGTCTGACAAGAACTGAATTTTCTCTGAATTGAATGGGTCTTGAAATCAGCAGACAAATATACTGTATAGCTAAGTCCTCGACTTACCACTGCATCTGAGTCCAAAATTTATGTTGCAAAGCGAGACATTTGTTAAGTGAATTTTGTCTCATTTTATAATCTTTCTTGCTACAGTTGTTAAGTGAATCACTGCAGTTGTAAAGTTAGCAACACTGTTGTTAAGTGAATTTGGCTTCCCCAAATTGGTTTAACACAGTGGTTCTCAACCTGTGGGTCGGGATCCCATTTGGGGTCGATCGACCATTTCATGGGGGTCGCCAAGCAAGGCTGTCCGCCATTTTTTTTGTCCGCCATTTTTTCCCCCTTTTCCGGCGGGTGCCTTACCTCCCTTGGGCTGGGCCAGCTGGTAGTCGGCCTGCTCTGTCTCTGCTGCTTGCCAGCTATGCCTCGGCTGGCACAGGGGGTGGAACCACTCATGCGCGGCGCTCCCGGGCAGGGAAAGTCCTCGACTTACGACCGGTTTAGTCCTCGACTTACGACCGGTTGGGGTCGCGGCATTAAAAAGGTTGAGAACCACTGGTTTAACGGAAAGTCGCAAGAGGGGATCAGGTGACCCTGGGAAAGGTCAGAAATATGAGCCAGTTGCCAAGCAACTGAATTTTGATCACGTGACCATGGGGATGCTGTGACAGTTCTGAATGTGAAAAATGGTCATCAGTCACTTTTTTTCAGTGCTGTTGTAACTTTGAACAGTCACTAAACGAAGTGTTGTAAGTAAAAAAAATATATTGAATTTTGTTCTGCTCTAGCCTCATATTGACTTCTTTAGATACGTTTTTTTAAAAATTATTTATTGATGTTTATAAAGAATTTTTATGTAATAAAAGACAAATAAAAAGAAGGAAGGAAGGAAGGAAGAAAAAGAAAGAAAGAAGAAAGAAAGAAGAAAAAAGAAAGAAAAGAAAGAAGAAAGAGAAAAGAAAGAAGGAAAGAAGGAAAAAAGAAGGAAAAAAAGAAAGGAAGGAAGAAAAGTAAGAAAGAAAGAAAGAAAGAAAGAAGGAAAGAAAGAAAGAAAGAAAAGAAAAAAGAAAGAGAAAAGAAAGAAGAAAAGAAGGAAAGAAAGAAAGAAAGAAAGAAAGAAAGAAAGAAAGAAAGGAAGGAAGGAAGGAAGGAAGGAAGGAAGGAAGGAACGAAGGAAGGAACGAAGGAAGACTAAGAAATTTCTGCCCCTTTTCCTGCAGGAGTGAAGAAAGGCCACAAGAGTCCAGTTGTGATGGCATGTGGGAATGACCTTGAGAGACAGGAGAGACAGTTGCAGATGGGACAACCATCATGAAAAAAACATCTCAGCCCACAAAAAGAGGGAGGGCATGGCAAATATTTCAGAAGGCACTCTCCCTAATTTTCCAGAGTAAAACAAAAGGAGGGCATAATTAATGTCAGTTTTCCAAGATTCTGTTCAGGTAACCTAACCATAAGGATACTATAGAGCAGTGGTGGCGAACCTATGGCACGTGTGCCAGAGGCGGCACTCAGAGCCCTCTCTGTGGGCATGCGTGTCGTGCCCTGGAGATGGTGAGGGACAGGCCCCTGTCGCCCTGCCCCTGCCCACTCAGTCTGCCATGACCACTGCAGCCACACCCACCCAGCACCCGGTGATACATAAGTGGGTTTTGGTTTGCAGTTTGGGCACTGGGTCTCTAAAAGGTTCGACATCACTGCTATAGAGCTAGTAGAGAAGTTCCCTGAGAATGAGCTCCAGAACGAGTCTGGACCAGACAAAATCTCTGATCCTGGTGACCGACCCAGATTGGATCCTGCAGAGCTAATATTCCTAGTTGCGTGTCTGCTTTGGACGGTCTTGAAGAGCCAACCGCCATCTAAAGAAACAGGCTCTGACACTTGAGCAGATGCAACGTGGGGTGTCAAACTGTAGAGCAATGGGATATAAATCCTATAAATCTTTACAATCGTCTCCAGAGAGGTTGGTTTCAGGATGGCCTCCTGTCCTGAGAGATGATGATGGTGTCATCTACATTTCCTGCCACCATGAGTCATGTAAGCACCATGTCTCCCCCCCCTGCCTGCCGTGGTATTTTGATGCGCAGCTTGCCGTCTTTCCATCTGTCCAACACATCAGGATCCCCAATCTTTCTAGCCATTGAAGTGGCACATGAGATGAGACCGTTAAAAGATTATCTTGATCCCCTATAGGTCTCTCTCTCTCTCTCTCTCTCTCTCTCTCTCTTTCTCTCTAACACACACGCACACAGTTCTGCAGATCTGTTGTGACTTTTTTCATTGGGGATTGGAGACAAGAGCTGTTACACAGCCGTACAATTCTTTATATGAAAAATAATGGGGAAATGCTCTTGGAAACTGATAGAAGGAAATTGTGGATCGTATTTAAGAAGAGGCATTCCTCCCCCCCCTTTTCGTAAGACTAAAAAGGCCTCTTTTGCAATGCTTACTTCTGTAATTTATGAGCAATGGCACTTTGCTTTATAACATTTACTTCTCTTCTGCGTTTATTAGCGCTACTATTACATTTGACCTAATTTTTATTATAATTATTAGATATAAGTTAATGTATTGGGAATAAAGCCCATTGATTCAATGAGACAAACTCACATAAACACACAAAGGACTGGCAACAGCCATCTGCTTGCTTCCTGAAGTTTGCTGCTTTGGGGAAAGAAAGAACAAGGGTGGGGAGGGGACGTCAGATAATATATGCCCCCACCTGCCTTGGGTGTTGGTATCACCTCAATCCCACCCATCATACCACCTCAAAAGGTTATCACTCTTAATAAAGACAAGGCGGCCTTCCCA